AAGTGATTGTTTTTTTGGGATTTGTGTGTCAAACTCAGCTTGGAAACCAACCTGTTTGCTCTGAGGCAGCAGTGATAAGCACTCAGCAGACTATTTATACTTTTATAAGTATGACTTGCCTTCAGCTACAGCTACAGCCCCAGCAAAACAAAGATCACATGTCCTTGCTAACTTAATGAGTCTTTACCTTCCACGTGCATTTTATAACTGCAAATCTTAGAATATTATACAAGATGTTTACAGGGTAAATCAACAGCATATGTTCTGCCAGAAGTCTTTAATAAGGCAACATGACTGAGTGCACTTTGCTGACTGTGTTCGGCTCCTGTAGTCTGATCCTCTTGCAAGTATTGGAAAGTTGAGATTGACTCATCACCGGCAAATGTGATATAATGCCGACCTCTTCACCCTCGCCTTGCATCTCTAAAAGAGTGTCTTGTTTGAGAATTTGAATAAATCTACGTCTTATACGTTAAGCAGTTCCAAAAACATATATTTTCTGCAAAGGGACGACAATATCTGACAGAGCAGGGAGGAATCACAAATCTTTCTTGCTGGGATTGTCTTCTCCTTTTCCGGGCAGTTTTGACATGGCACCTGTAATGTAATGTTATTTTAAAACAGACGCGCTTGATGTTACAAGAGCGTCCTCGTGTCTTTCTCTACAGTGAGCCGTTTTAGAGGGCTTAAGCTGTTAAAGCCGTGTTATTTCACTCCAGGAGCACTAATGTATGACTATTATTAACCGCTCCACTTATAAGCGAGTGAGTCACCCTGTCCAGTGACAGAGCTGCCACAAGTCCTCACTCAGCTGTCTGACTCCATGAAGGAGAGCCTATGACGCCAATCCTGTCTCCCCTCGAGCCAAGATCCTTCCTCTCGAGGTCTTGCCTGCGTGACCTGCCACTCAAAAGTGCTCACACTTCCTGCTGCCTCAGAGTTGTAAACGGAAAAACGCCTCGGCAAGACACAGTCCTCGGGCAGCATCCTGAATTCATCGGTACAGGACATTTTCATTTTAGTTCATAAAATATAGAGGGACCAATATCCTGCAAGCTTCATTACTGTCATTTGAATCACCAATATTTATTCTCCCCTTTGTTTTACTCTCCTGCTGATGGGGCATTTCTTCAAGCAGCATGCTCATTAATAAGCATTATTATATTTACTGTCTTAAGTAAGCAAAAAGAGAAAAATTATGATTCAGATACCATAACTGTGTTGGTCCAGTGTATAATATTTTTTAAGGTTGTGCTATAAAACAAAAAGGATCATGATTTTTACTATAATATTGCCTCCATCTGTATAACATGAGGTTTTCTTGATCTAATTACAAAGCAATATCAAATGGTTTGTGGTTGTGATTGGGATTTTTCTCAAATCGCAGTTGTTGTGCGACAAGCTGCTGCGTCAAGAAGATTATTAGGAAAGAAAGGAAAGCCTGCGAGCAAAGTCATATCACAGCTGAAATGATTTTCTACCCCACTTCCTCCTCCTCTCTGTTCCCACTACAAAGTCCTCAGCTCTCCATTTTCAGCCGCTTGAAAATGAGGTGTTGCCCGATCCCAGCACAGAGAGTCGGACCAAAGCAAAACTGAGAATATGTCTGATTTTAGCTTGGTTTCGGTTCTTTCTTAGTGACTCAAAGCATTTGTCGCACTTGTCTGGTGAGGCATCTTTGCCTTTCTTGGTTTGATTCGATGCCCTTTCGTCCCACTTGTCGCCGCACACTTTTATTTATTAATCAATAGGATGCTGTGAATTTTTTGGAAACGCAAGCCGAGCCCACAGAAAGATCCCCCCCTCCCACACATTTTAATAAATGATTCATTAATACACCAGACAAATGGACCACAAACGAACTTACAGATCATGATCTTGTTCTGCCTGTGCTGTAAAGTCTCTCCCTGCACCTTGTTACCCCCTGCCTGGACATTCTTCACCTTCTTGACTAAGGAGGTGTTAGTCAAAGTTATTTGAGCTGATAATAAACATTTGAAATGTACAGTAAAAGGGTAACTATCTTTAGAAATCCATCTTCTGGGTTCTACTCTAACCCTTGTCCGCATCCTTGCTGCAGCATCCTAGGTTTGAGTCTGCCCTGGGTCATGTTCTCCTCGTTATTCCCTGCTGTAGCCTATCCTTTCTAACAAAAAAGGCCAAAAATGTAAAGAAATAAAAAAGTAGTTTTCTGATGATCATTAAAATACTTAACCATTAGTGGAGCTTTTCTTTGAGTAAAAGCAACATTATCACAGTGTGGAAATACTCCAGCACAAGTAAATTTTTCTACTTTTGTGTACCGGTATAGCTCACCAAGATATGCCAAAGGTCACTGCTGGGGATCGGGTCTGAGTCCAATCCATACCACTTCCTGTGTGGCTCTCTCTGACTTCCTGTCTACTCCGTACTGTACTAGTAAATAAAGGTTTAAAATGTCAACAACAGCGTGTGTGCACGTGTGTGCATTACCAGAAATTCTGGTTTAAAAAGTAAAAGTATTTATTACTGTTTTTTTTACTTTTACTGTAACAACAGAATACCACGTTCTCCTTTCTTCTCCTCTCCAGCTGAACGTCTGCTTATTGAGTCGTGGGTTTTTTTGGCACCACAGTTTCTAACACTTCCACCCATCTTTGCTCTCTTTTGTCTTTCCCTTTCTCCACCTCTCATCACGTTCTCCGAGCCGCCTGCTTCACCAGCCTCCGTCCTTCTGCCTCGCTCTCCCTCACGCTGTCTCCTCTCACTGAATGATCTCATTTCTCCTGCGCCTCTGCATCCATCTCTCCTGCTATGATTGAAATTCTCAGTGGAAGTTACCCACGGGGTGTGGATGTGACAGCATCGACTCTTGCTGGTGTCAACATCAGTTAGCTGGGGTTGCTATGTGGCGGCAGGAAATTGGCTTCTCTCTGAATTTGGAAAATCCGAGAAAAATACCTTTAACGGTTCCTCATTTGATTGCGACCAGTGTGATAAAACATGAAAATGGCATTCCCCTGGTGGATCTGAGCCCCAACTGACTCCCTGTAACCTCGAGAATACTTAGAAAATTGACCTTAGATTCCATTTCTACATTCAGATCAGCCTATTAAGAGGCGGGTGAGCAACTGCTGCAGGGATTCAAGGATGCTCAGCCGTCCGCACTGACCTCTGTAGTCTTCCAGGACACATCATGTTTCAGTGGTTTACAGTCTCTCACTGGAAGGCACTGCTGGGGCAGCCTGGTGTTACTCCTCGGCATGTAGGCACGTCTGCAGAGCTGATGAGCCTGCGTGGATTTTCTCGAGCGCTGCCCTCCACTGCGAATGAGTCACACAGTGTATCAAGGAATGAGGGCAAAAGGAATCTTTGGAGATTATTATTCTGATTCATGCACAGCTGCGATTTCAGCTTAGCAGAATCCCCATTTTGGGGTTAGAGTGATGGGCAGATGCGGAGCCTGCAGAGGCATCAAACAGAAATGTACTCCAGCAAAACCCATGTGTGTATCCCTGTGTTTATTTAGCTCATAGTAACCTGTAACACTTTTACAGTTCACAAGTTCAGTTCTTGACTGAGTGGGTGAAACCAAAGTGCAGCTATTGTGCACGGAAGAATGTTCCAGCATTTTGACAAGGAGCAAAGTGGGTGGCTCACAGAGATTATCTCACATAACCCACATGCATTCATACATGCACATACATTTGACGAGCTCGTGGGTGCTGCCGCATTCGAAGACCAGAAACGATGAGGGGCGAAAAAAATGCATTTCTATGCTGTGGGGGCTTATTCAAGCACACGGTGAGAAACAAGGATTTTGAACAGAGCACGTCTGTGTACGCGCACGCACATCGCACGCGAGAGAACAAACATTAAATCAAACACTTCTGCCAGTGTCTTGTGTCCAGCTGCAAGCATTCCTCACACCGCCCTGGAGTCCTAGATGGAATTGCACAAGCCTGCCGTCACACCTCCTGGTTACAGTGTATAGGGAAGAACAATGAATAATGAAGCTCTTCCATGCACAACTGTGTAACAGAACAATCTGCTGCAAGACATGTCTAAGATGTTCTAGCTTTTTAATGAAGCACGCTTGGCACACAAATAAATAAATAAAAATCTGGAGTATTATACTTCCACTGATTTACATTGCATTTGTAATGAGTACCATGTTACACTACTTGTTTTTTTTTTTGAGTTTGCTGTAACTTTTATCTTTTGTGGAGTGGAGTGAAATATCTTATACTGAAAAATGAAGTCCCCTTTCAAAAGAAATAAATCTGTCAGCATGACTTTTTTGGGCTTGAATTTGAATAGGGAAATGTGTAAAATTACAGAAATACATAACTTAATTATTTTGGTGTAACATGAATACCTAATGGGGGGCATCTTTATGGGTAAAAAAAAAGTTTCTGTTCTCCTTGACATTTTACAAATCCATCCAGTGGGCCGGATTGGTGGCTTTGCTTGGCTGATTCTGGCCCCTGGGCCTTATGTTTGACACCCCAGGCTTAGGCCCTCCTTTAGTTACACTTTCATGTCATTTTAAGTATAGACTCAACTGTATCCTAAGGGCTTAGTAACGCAGTGTGTTTTCATTCACAGGTGTAGATGCCGCCACAAAAAAGGTGTTACAAATAACACGATTTTATGCGGTAACTGCGCTGAACGGCGTGTGTGCTATTGTGAGAGCGGGATCTCCCTCGCTTTCCCTTGAATGACATTTCAGGAGGAAACACATTTGTAACACAGCACGTACAGTAGCTATACTCTCACTCCGGCCCCCCCCCTCCCCATCCAATTTACCAGCATGCGACGCATTTAGATTCCTGGGGGTGTAGCCGCACTACATGGCTCTCACATGACTTCACCGCATATTATAAGGCAGCTCGGAAGCCAATGAGCTCTCGCTGTTTAAATGACGTCAGGGGGCGGGTCGGCATGCCTCTTTGTATGTGTGTGCATGTGCGCAGGTGTGCGTGTGTACAGAAGCCCCCCCCCCACCCCACCCTCCCGTCCTCGTCCCCTCCTCCGTCAGGCAGGCAGGCTTGCTCTCTCTGTCTGTACAGGCGCAGTGTGTACAGCTCGGCTGGCCTCCCTCCGCACTTGAATGGACTAGATTCCCAGCCACGTAAGAAGCACAGCGGCACCACGGGAGAGGATGTCCTGCTGAATCGAGGGATTGGCCTGGGAAAGTCGGCCGGCCGTCCCTTCCTTCCTTCCATCAGATTTATATCAGCAGACACTCAAGAAAGACGGCACTTTTATTCCGCAGGACCGGACCAGCAGAAAGAGAGAGGACGTCGACTCCCGCACACAAAGAGCCACAGCAGTCTTTTTTCCGGATGGGGGTTTCTCCTTATGTGATAGATGACAATCAGCGTGCATGGATATGATCCCGGGGAACAAGGCCGTGCACTGACCTGGTACTAGTTAGCCAAGGGAGCTAACTAGTTAGCTCTGCACCTGCTAGCTACTAATAGTCTAAAAAGTCAGCAGCTATAATTGGGCTGGAAAGTTGCTTTATTTGTTTCTATTTTTGCATTTCCCCCTTGCCTGACAGCTGTGTCTTATAAATTGTTTCCGTTTTATGAAACGTGCCATACCGTTAACCGGCAAGATAAGCTAGCAAGACGAGCTGCGGGTTTACTCTTCATTCATTTTAAAAGCTAACTTTTGGCAACCTTTGTTGCAGTTTTGTTCGCACTTAACGTCAGTGAAGCTGCAGCACGTCTGTGCTAAGGGGTTTCATCCAGCTTAAGTCAGTAATTCTTAATTTTTCCTTTACCCCAGTCTCATCCAATGAATGGAAAACAAAGGGGTGCAAGTGAGCAGTAAAAAAATCAGAGACCAATTTTAGTTGCATGAAATCCAGCGAGCCAGTTTTGGCTGCTCAGAGTCTGTTAGATTTTGCAAAGGCAAGGTGCATTTAAATCTCTTATTTTTTTTGTATTTTTTTTTTTTTTTTAGAAAAAATTTATTATTTATTTTTTTACTTCATGCAAGCGTAACAGAAGTACTTGGACAGATTGTCTTTCTGCACAACGAAGTGTTATCCCGACAGAAGAGGATAAGAAGAACAAGGAGGAGGAAGGCCCCCGATTTTGTGGAGATATCGCACTTATTCCTCATGAACATACAGAGGTCAAATCCAATTAACATTTCACGCTATGGGAGATCGCGGCACAAAGCGCACGATTTCGAAGAATTGTCTTGTTTAAGGACTACAGAGTCTCATCAGAGTTTCAGCCCCAACCTCGGGTCTCCCAGCCCGCCGGAGACCCCGGACTCCTCGCACTGTATCTCCCGCATCGGGGACTACCTTTTGTTGGAGCCGCTGGAGGGAGACCACGTTTTCAGAGCCGCCCACCTGCACAGCGGGGACGAGCTCGTATGTAAGGTTAGTAGGCAATATGGTAACAAACCTTCCCTATTTCGCAGCATGACTTTACTCCCCCCTTATGACGTCAATCTGGGGAGAAAAAATATATTCACATATTTATTTATTTTTTTACTGCACGAAATATTTGTAGGGGTGCGTTGCGTGCACGTCTAGATGAATTAAAACGACTTTATTTCGATGCCTAATGTCCTCAGATGTGATGAATGTGCTATGCAGAAAAATCCTGAGCTGGCTTTTATGGGTTTCCTGTCCACCATCTCCACTTTTTAATAATTGCTTGAACTGTAAATAGAGAGCTGGCAGCAGCAGCCTAATGGAAAAAGTGAATGGAGTGAGCTGTGTGGCTTGGATTGCATGATGTAACGTTGACAAAGGAGTGAGTAACCACGCACACACTCCTCTGTGCTATTCTGGCACAGCCATGGCTTCTTTCTTTCATGGCACAGTGCTCACTCTTGGATCTGTAGTGCCAACATATCCATAGTGCACCTTTTTTCTTTTTGTTTTCTTTTTTCCACCAGGTGCTCAGTTTTTAAAGGGAAGTTGATCTGAGTAAAATGCACACATTCAAAAAAATATATAAAAAACGCTGCCCTGTTAAGCTTGGATGAAACTCATGGCCTCTCCTCACCACATTTATAGCTTCTGACTTCTGTAAATTACTGATTATGAGGGCAGGTGGGTTGTCCCTGAGGCTTAAGTGGATGAATTGAGGCAATACTTGCATGCACCCTTGGACTCGTACGCCACAACATATCAAATAACCTGTGCCTTTTGACTTGAGATAATGTTTTGTCAGGGCAATAACAAATTAATGGCCTTTGGCACAAGCCTGTGTACTAACTGCTGTTTGACCCCCATCTGCTTTGTGCTGGTTTCGATACAGTGGTGATCAATTCCCTCCCCCCCCCTTTTTTTCAGGATTGATTTTTCTTGTCTAGCTGGAGTCTTAGGCTGCAACTTAAGATCCCCAGACCTGTGGGGTGTATTTGTATCGACTGCAAGAGAAGCCCTCTCACCTGAATTGCATGTACTGAAAGTCAATTGGGGGTTACTATGGAAACAAAAGAGACACTGCAACCCCCAGGCTGCAGCACAATGCCATGTACTAATACAATGCTTTCAGTTTGCCTCTATTTAACCTTACTCGCTCTGCCAAAAGACCAAGTTTGGTGTCCTGGGAATGTGTTGGATTACTCATGTGTTGGTTACATTTAGTTCAATTAGAGGGCAATTTACACCTCCTTCAGTTGGATTTAATTGTGTAAATCTATGGTGGGAAAGGTTTGGTTTATAGATCTCCAACCACCAAAAGAATCTAATGATATAGCTGAAAAAAAAATATACATACGATCTAATTCTCCACATTGCTAACAGTAAGCATAAATTCTTCCTTCTTCTGATTGCAGGTTTTCGATGTGGGCCGATACCAGGAGTCACTGGCGGCCTACTTCGCCCTTGGCCAGCACCAGCACATTAACCAAATCCTGGAGATTTTGCTTGGGGAGACGCGGGCCTATGTGTTCTTCGAGAGAAGCTATGGCGACATGCACTCTTTTGTCCGTACCTGCAAGAAGTTGCGAGAGGACGAAGCTGCCAGGCTCTTCTATCAGATAGCCTCGGCTGTGGCACATTGCCACGACAACGGACTGGTTCTCCGTGACCTCAAACTGAGGAAGTTTGTCTTCAAGAATGAGGACAGGTGAGTCCCATGGAAACCTTAGCATCTTTTGTGCACTTTGCAGTTTCCCTCTGTTTTTTTTTTTTTGTGTATAAGATGCTATCGGTATGTGTGTGATATTACAGCTAATACCGCAGATAGTGTAAGTTGACACTATACAAGGTGTTGTGCAGAATGAAGGAAATATGAGCCTTTTGTGTGTCGCCTGGTTATTCTTGTGCACATATACTGTAAATGTGAATGGAATCACACTTGGGGGAAGGAAATGAGTTACACAAATGTAATCGCTACTCATGCTAAGACTCAGGAAAGCTGTTGAGCTGAGAAACATGGACAGATAAGTTATCAGGGGAAGCTTTTGCATGTCAGATGATCCATTACTCTGGGCTTATGTGTGATGGAAACTTTAGAATAACACTTTTCACAGTGCGGGTTTACTGACCCCTGCTGGCAGCATATGAAAACTACAAAAAATCTAGACATCTGTTAGAGCAGCTTTTTAAGTTCTTTCTTTTTTCTTTTAAAGAATTTGAGTGGATGCCAGTTCAGACTCAACGTTTATTCTTTTCATTAGATACTGTATACAAATCCCAGCTCTAAAGCATGTCCTTAAGTACTTCTTATTTAACACCTTGAAGCCACATGCTGCACTCAGGGCCTTCAGTCTGAAAAATGTGACGTCATTCTCTGGCGCTCTCTGTGGAAAAGAGAAGTTGAGCCGCCTCACATATTTAGTACAGGTCCAGTAACCTTGAATGTCACTGGGCTCGGATGCTGAGGGCCCCTTCCACTAAATGATTCATGCCGGGTGAATTCTAAGAGTGATGTGAAGGGCAGCACCGGGTCGCATTTACCATGTGGCCCGTCAAGCCTCCTCTTACAACCTTTCAGTCCTGCTGAAACGGTGAACGAGTGCAGAGAGATGAGAGAGGAGACAAAGCTGCCTTAGAGAGACCTCCTCTGGCTCTGAGGCCAAGTGTGGAACAAAACGCTGCGATGACTGCAGAGAGGAGTGGATGAGCAGACAGAAAATGATACCCGAGCAGGCTTCTGCAGCATTCGTTGGCTTCTTGACCCGAATTTGTCATGCTGCCGTTAACCCTTGACCAAACGGCGGCATCAGTCAAACGCTGGCCTCGAGTAGAATCATGTAGCTATTAAACAAGGCTTGTTTGTTTCTTTCTTCTCTACCGCGCCTCAAGATATTTCATCATGAGCGCCGCCTCTGACTCAGCTGAAATGCACAATGTGTGCTAATATTAAATTCGGCTCCGTTTTAGTAGTTTGCCTTCCTAGGTCCTCTTAGCTCTAATTGCAGGTTTGCACATCCTCCAAATGAGCTGTTATCCAGGCAGTGGTGTGCTGTGTTTAAAATTCACACAGCTCTTTATATTGCAGGGGAACAATGGGTATTTTGCTCAAGGAAACAATAGAATGTTCCTCGTTTTAAAACCTAAAATCGTTCTGCCACGTATTAATGAAAGGAAACGGCCTCGTGTGAAAGTCAAACGTAGCAATAAATACATCCTTCTCTTCGATCACAGTCTCGTTGCTTGGTGCATCATATCGTATTGTCTTTACCTGCTTCTGCTGGCTGACTATTCATGTATGGGGGCTTTTTGTTTTCGGTGCTTGAACTTGCACAGATTCTTCAGTGATAAAGCTTCTCAACAATTAGTCGCTATTATGAATACCCAGGGGCATTGTAGCAACTGTTGCAGGGTTTAGAGCAAAAAGTGCAAATAGATGCTTTGATGAGTAGGAGGGGGGGGATTTTACTTTTCTGATCACTTACCCATAATTATGTTTCTTCTGGAAAATCTGTTTGTATAATGCCACTTTTTATATATTGAAAAGAAATGTCAGACGTAAGCTGAAAGAATTATGCGATCTACTTCCATTGACATCCAAAAGTGATGGATTTAAAGTACTTTACGTTGCCTGTCAGAATAAATTACCCACTTGATGGTTTTCTTCTGATTGCTCAAATTCTTTCTATATCATCCACATTTATAAGGAGCTCAATGAGTTTTGTGTGTGTGTCTGCAGAAGCCTTGTGAAGCTGGAGAGCCTCGAGGACACGTACATCCTGAATGGGCACGATGATTCCCTGTCAGATAAACATGGCTGCCCCGCCTACGTCAGCCCCGAGATCCTCAATGCCAGCGGCAGCTACTCGGGGAAGGCAGCTGACGTCTGGAGCCTGGGCGTCATGCTTTATACCATCCTCGTGGGGCGCTACCCTTTCCACGATGTCGAACCCGGCTCGCTGTTCAGCAAAATCCGCAGGGGCCACTTCAACATCCCAGAAACGCTGACGCCCAAGGCCAAGTGCCTGATCCGCTCCATCCTCCGTCGGGAGCCGGCGGAGCGCCTCACCTCTCGGGAGATTCTGGAGCACCCGTGGTTTGCCTCATCCGGGGCGCTAGGGGGCACTGCAGTGCACAGCAGAGGGGAAAGGGAGCAGGAGCAGATGGTGCCTGAGGTGAACATGGAAGAGGAGCTGGAGCAGTTCTTCAGCTGAGCAAACACCAAGCACAAACGGACGACTCCGCCACGGTTGGCTCGCCAAGCTCGCAGCAGAGCCAAAAAAATAAACAGTAGAGTAGAAGTAAATAGGTGAATTTGTCACTCATAAAAAAAAAAGGTGTTTCCATTGTGTTTCCTTTGCCACCATTTCATGGAAAACCTTGAGTCTGGCATGACAAATGGCATCTATACATCATCTGGCGATGCACGTCCCGATTGGGGATGTTGCTACCAGATATGCAAGTTGCAAACAATGTAGCAAATGTTCTTTTTTTTTTCTTCCCCAGATCTGTTTTGTTTTAAATGTGGTGCTCATAGAAGTAGACACATTCACCTTTTTTTCCCCTTTTTTTTGACACTATGGAAAGCATGAAGGGACATACAGACAAGGAATCCGAGGAGAACAATCCTAAAGGAACTGACAGACTCGCAACACCCCAGCTCTTTTTATTGGTTTTCTTTAGTTTGATGTCATAGCTTTAGGTGGTCATAGTTCTGACCCAGGAGCATTGTTTAAACGGAGCAGGCGTTTTCTTGTGGTTGTCATCATAATCGACATGGCTGACCTCGCCCTTGTCTCATGGTTTTAAGTTTTATGTCGTGTGTCCATGTCTCGTTTGTCTGTTTTATATTGTTGAAGATTCTGACAGTCACTAAACTCCTCAATGGCCTTGTCTTTTGTTATGTTTCTGCCTCCTCCTGTCTCTTACCACACTTTTGTTTTTCCACATTACTTTTGTAAAGCATTTTTGTTTTTTAAAAAGCTATTCCAGTCTATTGTTACTGCTGCTTTATTGTCACTCTGTACACCTCAATCTTAATCTATTTTCATAGTCAGCCTCTCCACTCGGTATCATGCACTTGATGTATTAGGTGAAAGGATGATTCCACCTCTAAAATTAGCTTACTTTTTTTTTTTTTTTAAATATATAATTTAATTCCATTCTTCAGTTGTAGGAACAAGAACATAACATTTATTTAAATTGTAACAGCTATATATATAAATATAAATATATATATATTTAAAACTACATTGCAGGGTTTTTCTTTATCCAGAGATTCCTTTTTCATGTATGATGTAGGCAATATCTTGACACAGGACAGGCGCCAACAGAGAAAAAACAAACAAAAAAAAGGTCTGTCTGAAGTTTTAGAATACACATTATCTTCTGTGCCAGTATTCCTGTACCCCCGACAGCCTCATGCCACCCAGTCTCCCTCACTTCTTTTTAAGAAAATTGATATGAGATATTCAGTGATAGTATTGCTATGACATGCTCACTCCAGAACCTCATGTTAGGTTGTTTTTTTTTTTTAATTTTTAATTTTATTTTTGTTTTTCTACTCCCTGCTTAGGTTCTGTGAAACGGTCATGCTCGAAAATGGGTACCAGTGGACACGTTTTGTCGTATCTCAATGTTACTTGAATTTGTGTTTTCCTTAACTAGACATTGGCATGTGCTCCATGAATGCTATAGCCTGCCTAGCAAAGGGTGGGAGGTCGGGGTGGGGTTAGGAGGGTGCTCGTTTTTCTTTTTCTTTTCTTTCTTTTTTTTTTTTTTAAGAAAAGTTTAAAAACAGGAAAAATTCTCAGTTTGCTGCTTTTCTGAGTTGTTTTTGGATTTAAACAGTAAAACAGCTATTGCTTTCATCGTTTTTGTAGACTGAGCTACCTTTATTTAAGCTGGTGCTGATTTGGTGCTAATGTTTAGTCCTTTTTTTTTGTTTCATGGATGGGGATGGTGCATGGTGGGATATCTGCCTCAGATGTTCTGATTGTATCGTAACAGATTCTGGTGTTTTGTCCAAATTTATTCAGTAAAATAAATTGTGAACTACTACTGGATTTTGTTTTGGGTTTTTTTTTTTCTTTCTTTTTGTTTTTTTTTCCTGTACATACAAAATAAAAGCTCTTCAGCACAACGTGCAGAATCACGCATCATTACACACTTAACATTTGTCATGTTGTAATGGCTACATTTAATAAAAACACACACAGATACACCATTTCATCTTTACATTGTGAGGTAAAGACACTACAATAATACAGAGAGATCACCAACAATCATGTGATCCCCTTTGGGCAAGCATTTTGGCGACAGAGGAAAGGGAAAACTCCCTTTTAACAGGAAGAAATCTTGGCACAGGGAGGGTGGGCGTCTGGTGCAGCCGGTTGTTTGTGAGGGGAGGAAGACACGCTGTGGAGTGCCAGGGGTTAATAATAACTAATGATTAAATGCAGAGTGGACACATATATAGTACTTTGCAAAAGTCTTTAGCCACCTTTCGAAATCATTACAATGGTGAATTTTCACAATAAATGTGGAGAAAGTTTCAAATAATAATTATATTACTTTACTATCTACTATTGGATATCATTGTCATGCAGTGGAGGTATCCCAAATCATCTCAAGAACACAGCTGTGACTTTGAGGACAGAAGACCCCACCCACTTGCTTTTCTTGGCTTTAAAAAAAGAAGGAATAAAAGGAGCATAAACTTCCTCGCCCTTAGACAAATCCAGTCGAGTCCTGGAATAAAAATGTGGAATTAGAATTTAGACTACCAGCTAAGTGATGGTTATTTCTCCACAACCAAGTAACTGTGACTGTGATGTAGATGCTTTGCAGCCTATTTCTGTATTTAAAACAAACAAACAAAAAAAACAGTGCTCTTCTGGCCAGCATGCCCCAACAAAAGCACTTCCCCATTCCTAATGAGACTGCAATCACTGTCAGAACTTGAATGGATTGCAAATGAGTGAGGACTGCTCTGTCAGCTCCACTTCATCTAAATGATCGCACACATGAGACTTCAGAAGAATGCTCTTCAGTCAAATCATTTTCCTGGTGTCTCTCTCTCTTGAGAGACTCCTGCCTACAGTCCTTTCTGCTGTTCTGTGTGACAACATTGTAGTTCTGCAATTGTAGCCGACCTGCTGACCCCATCCTGTGTTTGAATCGCTCCGAGGAAGAGAATCACTTCAGATTTCATTTGTTCATGCAGTGCTTTGACAGTACTTTCATCTGTGTGTGTGTGTGTGCTCAAGAGCACTTCCACCTATCATGTTCATTCATGGTAACCCTGTTTACGGTTGAATTATCTAATGTGATAGCCCAAATTCTCAAGAATAAATTCAAGTTCTTAGGTTTATATTGACACTGTAAAGCCATGTGTCATTGGTCAACAACACCTGCTAGTGCACTGTGTTTCATACACAGCAACACAAGCCTCCTGATCTCTTTGGGTTAACATAGCGAGATGATTTTAATTTAACAAATGAGGATCTGTGGTGGGGTTTGTTGGTTTCTTTGTATATTAAATGTGAAACATGAAAGCTTATGAGCAGAGTACACCTGAAAACTTGTTATCAAGCAGATAAAAGAATTCAATACAGTCAACTGCCTTCATAGGAGAAAATGAATGCTGGCCTGCCCTCTAGTGGTAATAATGACAGTACAAGTATTGCAACACTTGACATAAAAATGAGTTTATATAGAGATATGTTTCACTGAGACACAATGTTCTGTTTTTAAACTTAGTATTTAATTATTCCTTATAATAACATGTGTGTATAATTTCCCTAATAGGGGAGCTTACAAAGAGGTAATGAACTTTAATTTGTATCACTATTAGCCAATAACTATTAACTAATTTATGATACTAAACTATTTGCTAATGCTTTATAGTTAAACTGAAAACAAGTTGGGCTGCATTTATTTTTTTCTTCTTGCTACACATGTGCATTCTCTTATTATATTCATCATAAAGGTGTCTACAAATGACCTTTAACCTCACAGGAAAAGGTTGTCCCATTTAAAAATAGACACTTTAAAATGAAAATGCACCAAAAGTAAAGACATCTCTCTCCTTTCAACTTAGACAGCTGTTTGTATCCATCCTAACGTCACTGCGATCTTGTTACATCGGTAGCCATCAGTTGGCAAAAAATGTAGCTGTGTCTGTTTTACAGGCAAGTACGTTTCGGGTTAACATGATTTGAGCTAGCCAAGCCGAGAAGGCGGCAGTGCCCCCACCCCCCGATGTTTGCGCATGCGCATTGTGGATAAATCCTTAGCCTTCCACTGGTAGGAGACCAGTGTGCGAAGCAGGCTACCACTTGCTTTGCTTTTACAGGTCTGAGATCAGTTATCACACAGCTAGCATTAGCAAGTAAAAAAGCTTCGGTGATTTAGCATCCTAAGAGTTTCCTCTTGCTAACCACCTTGGTCAACATGTGTGATGTAGAGACGATGGAGTGTGAAGAAGTTGTTAATAACTCAGTACCCGAGCAAGGAAAGCTGTGACCATGATGGAGAGGGGACCGCAGCTTTAATAAAACAGGCAAGTTGACCCAGGTGCTGGCTCACCAGCACTTTCAGATTAGCATCTACGAGAATGTTTGAATGTACTATGTTTAATCAGCTGCTTTACTAATGCTCCACCATCGATTTCCATTGATTTTTTTAATCCCCTCATAGATATTAACAATTAACCATGTCACACACTACTCAAGCCTTTTCATTTAGCTAATTTTTCTTTTTTGTCATGAATAAATTGTAATACATTTTACTTTTTTAAAAGGACATAAAATATAATATAATGTATTTAAAATGAACTCGACCTTAAACATATGCAACATTAATATTAATCAGTTTAACATTAAATTGACATTTTTCTGCAGAATATTTTTTTACTTTTTAAAATGTATGCACACTTTTCCAGTTTTATGTGTACTGGGGGTTTTCCTAGAGTTGTACCACTCTCTTTCCTGAAGGAATGGTTTGAAAAGTTTCTCCACTACTTGTCATTGCCAGCTAATATTGCGGAATTTTTGTTACTATGGTAGATATTTATTTAACTATAGAAGTAGTAATATTTTACAGTTCTTCAGCCAGGAAGGAGTCCAGAAAGGTGAAGGCGTCCATATGAGAGTGCAGACAGGCAGCACAAATGGTATGTTTTAATCTGATCCAGTTTATCTTGTTAAATTGCTAAATAGTGTTTGTATTTTAAGTAATATTTACATCCACAGACCTGATGTTTAAAAGGACTA